ACGACACCACACACACACGACCAACACAACCACACACACACACACACACACACACACACACACATATATATATATATCGTATATTAAACAGATACATGCAAGAATCATACAACAACAGAGCAAATATAACGATTCTCTTACCCTGATCGTGGTCATCATAGTGACGTGCTGTGCAAAACCGTTTAGATTCACACTGTCTATATCTTCGAAGTACTATCCCATCGCTGGATGGAGTCGAACCATCTTCGTTCGTGCCCACTAAAGTAGGGGTGCCGTACAAGAAGGATAGGCCGGTGTGCAATTTGTATTGGTGTTCGTGCGCGGTCGTGTTTACGTTACGTTTACGCCTGCGATTGCGCCCTGTCCGCTTATTATCAAGATTTCCCATAAGAGCTGAATCAACTATAGTATTGTCGAGTTATATCATTGACAGTGGCACGACTTCTGGTATTAAATGAAGTGTTTAGTAGTGAAGCAGTAAATAAGAACACTTATCAGTACGTACGAAGGGGATCAGTGGTTGGTCTCACAAAATGGAGCGCTAAAAATAGAATTCGAATTTATACTATAGTAGAGGATCTAATTTAAATAAACACGTAGAATCGACCTTTTATATAAACAATACCTGCATTTCTGCTTTCGCTATTTATGTAAGCTTTCGTGTATTTACGGCAGAGTACTATAGTCTTCAGAAGCAACCATGGCAAACCGTATGCCAGCATGTGTCATCGACAACGGCACAGGCTACACCAAAATGGGTTATGCTGGGAACTCTGTACCCAGCTACATTGTCCCATCGTGCATAGCCGTAAAGGAAAACAAAGTCGGAGGTAGGCCAGGATGCAGTAGGGCTTGTATATTCACATGAAAGCCGCACTTAATTTGTACATGTCTATAAATACAACTAGAGCGATTGGCAGGATTAATTTGACTGTGATAGCATATAGGCGGATGTGTGAAGTGTGTGATCTGTAAAATATGCTTTATATGTTATATACAAAGTTGAGAGAAAACAGCCTTGGGACGCGCTTCACTACTCCATTGGAACATGTTATGAATTTGTTGCCGTATGCAATCTTCCTGTGCGATAAACTTATCGGTTGTAATAAAATACGACTATGTCTTTGCGCGAGTGGTTTACTAAATGCAGGATATTGATTTGTTTTAGGAGGGGCTTCTAAGCTCGTTGGCAAGGGAATCGAAGACCTCGATTTCCACATCGGTGATGAAGCTATTGCGAATCAAAAAACCTACAGCGCACACTATCCCATAAGACACGGTATAGTAGAGAACTGGGATCTTATGGAACGCTACTGGGAGCAGGCTATCTTCAAATATATGAGAGCTGAGCCTGAGGACCACTATTTCCTTTTGGTAATTGTTCATGTATCTATATATTGATCCATTATGCGTCGTTGTGCATTTCGGTATATCTTGAGTTGTACATATATCTTTGTCTCTCGTATACAAGGCACGAAGTTTACTCGCCAACCCTAGAGATACCTAGAGATAGTCCATCGCTCATGTTGAGCTCTGTCACATAGGTGTTTGCGTATTGCTTCTCAATACAATACCTTTGAATAGAACGCGACCTAGAAATTTACTATTACATCTTCTGATTCTGTGTACACAGACTGAACCGCCATTGAATACACCAGAGAATCGTGAGTATACGGCCGAGATCATGTTCGAGTCTTTCAATGTGCCTGGTCTGTACATCGCAGTGCAGGCGGTTCTCGCCTTGGCCGCATCTTGGACGGCGAAGTCGGTAGGGTTTTTATATCTCATGATGTGTACTTTCTGTTTCAGAATTCAAGGTAGGGGTTTGCTGCCTCCTCGAGAGTGTATTTTCACGCGTAAGAGCTAGTAGCTTTGCCTGTGTGAACTCACTGTGGTAGTGTATCAGTTTTGTATGCAACATGATATATATGCACAGTATTACACACGACACCTCTTACACTTAACACACATAATTGTTATACATTTATATATACATACATACAT